CATGTTCATTCAACATTATTTACGATAAATCACAGTAAAATCACAAAACAGAAAGATAAGCATCAGAAAAAGAGTAATATCAGAGGTTTGCACTTCAGCGAGGAAGGATACTTTGTCAGCATCCAGTTTAGCACTTAAGTGCACCATGTGTTACCGCCTTACTCTTCGGAACATGACCGATTCGGTGATGCACGTAACAAGTACACAGTTATTTCAGAACAGTATATCTGGTGGAAAGTGAAGAAGTCCTTTTCGCCTTTTCTGTTGTTACAAAGTTGAATAAAATGGTTTTTTTGAAGTATGGCTAGGTCAGAAGGGATTTTGGAAAATCAAATTCGGAAGTGAATGCTTCAAGGTTATCATCAACGGTTGATCTAACGGTATCCACCTATATTTTTTAATTCTGGTTTGCCATGAGACTGGAATTAGATCTCAAAATATACGTGATTAGATCTCGCTACATCCTGTAAGTCACTAACAACAAAGCGATATTACACCGAGGAAACTCATAGAGACGATAATCAACCATTTGGTGCATTTCTCACTTTAGTGCATTTATTTTGAGATCTTTTAACACGGTCCACATGCTAATTGAACCTATCTAGGCGAATCTCTTAGATTTTGTGCATTATCTGACAAAGGTAACCCAGTTTTCATGTATAGCAAAGAAGAAAAACTAGTATACTCGAGGCAGCTTTTTCAGAAGACTGGATGATACTCCAGGCAAGAAACAACACTAGGCGAATCTCTTAGATTTTGTGTATTTTCTGACAAAGGTAACCCAGTTTTTGACTTTCAAAACTGTTAGGAGAAAAACGGTTCAACTTTGTCACAAATGTAGTAAAAACGCAAGGGCTTATTTTTTTCTGTTTCCACACACTGAAATTGCTGTGTACTCACCACAATTTTAGTTATATATTATTTAATATTTCAAACTTATATATTAAAGTAAAAAATTAAAAAAAGCAGTGCATGGCTGTAATCGACTACACGATAAAGTGATCTTAATATTGCGATAACAAAATGATTTAAGAAATGACTATTAAAGAAAACATACACGTTGTGCATACAATAGGTTAAAGATAAAAGAAGAGAACAATGTAACCATGAGCACAACACACATGCGCGTGGCCTGTTCTTTTCTTTTTCTCATTATGTGTGTGTTATATAAGTTCAGAAGGATAATATAAGGCGTACACAGAACAATCAAGACTCGCGCCGCGATGTTTTAGAACTCCTCTACATAGACCGCAACTCAGCGATAAAAATCGCGATTCGCAACGCGACTACGCAAATACTACTGTTTATATATCTGTGATTGTCTTGGCGCGACTCGCTATTACAGTCAAAAAAATATATCAAGAGGAGGAGTATCATGGAGCACCAAAAAGAGTGCTCCAACTTAAAAGGAGTACTCCAAAAGCTACAACGGAGTACCCACAAAAAGAGCACTCCTTTTTATAAAATGCAGCTGAGCTACTGCGGAGCACTTCGAAAAAAGCAGCACTCAGGAGTACTCATTTTTTGTGGGTACTCCGTTGTAGCTTTTGGAGTAGTCCTTTTGAGTTGAAGCACTCTTTTTCAAAAAGAGTGCTCCTTTCCTTTTGTCCAAAAAGAGTGCTCCATGATACTCCTCTTGATATTTTTTTTTTTGACTGGGATATCCCGAATCGTGCTGCGGTAATATAGAGATCGCGCTAAGAAATATTCACTTGGTTTTTCGAAAGTTTATCAACTTTTCAAGTCCTGCCGCGAGATCGCGAATCTCAAAAAAAGATTTTTTTAAAATAGGATTAGGTCAAGATCACGGCGCGAGTTTAAGAGTTCAGCGCGATCGCGATGAGAATACAAGATTTTTTTAGCGATCGCGCCGCGACTAAGCCAGTCTTTTAAAGAAACGCTTGTTGCAGCAAGAGTCGTGGCGCGACTAAGCAGAGTACGTCTGTTGAAATTCGCGATCACAAGAGTCGCGTCGCGACATCGCGAACCCACCACGGCTCTCAAAAAGTCCTCTTCTCTCTAGATAAGAATTTCTCAAGATCCCGCCGCAACACAGCGAAAGCATAGCGTTCACGTCGTGATAGTTAAATCGCGACGTGACTCTTAGAAAAAAGTTTCAATAAATTAAGACTTTCTTAAGATCTTGTTGCGAGGGCGTGACTTTACAGCGATCACGTCGCGAGTGATGGGAGTTCATAGCGATCGCTTCGCGAATGTAGCATGGCAGTTGACCTGGGGATTGGGGATGTGTTTCTCAGCAAATAGTAAAAAAACACCCATTTATTAAATTTGCTTCTGTTCCATCACTTGGACTAACCTTTGTCCTTTCCAGAACATCACATTCTATCAAATAAGTGGTGATAGTTTAATCAATATTGTTTTCAACATCCATTGAAGGGATATGAATGATACTGAACTTTTTGTTTGTTTTTGTTAATTTTACAGTCACGCTTTCGTCATTGCTACTGGTAGTGCATTAGAATACAAAGTAATCATTTAACAGATTTGCTTTGTCTTCACGATCACTAGTGAGATCTTCATTTAAATTTTTAAGAGGTAGAATTGATCAATGATGTTTTACTGTTATGATGCTTTACTTTGGAGACGGTACTCCATCATCAGGCTGACCTTACTAGGGAGAGAGACGACAACCGGAGCGACAAACGGAGCACCCGCCCAAAGTCTGAATGGTTGCGACAGTCCTATCTATCATGACCCTGTTACTATATTTCCCATTGTTCATACATTGTAAAACTGGTAAAAATTTACTACTGTTTTCAAGAATTTATAGATAGATTGATGAAAAGGAACTTTAGAAAACCTTTCATGGAAGAAAGAATTGTCGAAAAAATATGTTGGCCATTTGTGTTTAGGACGTTGAGTACGGATTCATAGCCTGGATATCCAAGTATGCGGCACAAGATTTCATCTTAAGCACCGAAGAGTGTTTCAAGCTATTATACACATTTAGAACTGAATGCAAAGCTTATCATTATATTAGCTGCAAGTAATCTAACAAGTAACTGTTATCAGTATGCTCAGTGAAAGACTTTTTCAAACTATGTTAACCATGTGTCTAAAGCATATTCTTCTAGTAAAGGATGCAATCACTGGTTAACGTTCATTAGAATTTTTACAGACTGGATTGATGGAGGAGCTGTCAGTATGAATCAATTGAATTGCAGGTGAACTTGTATTTATTAGAATTAATTTGATTTAATTTATATTGCTTATACAGTTCACTTTTTCGATAGCCAATAATGGCGCACTTTTGTTTTCTTTTCTTCCGAACACAACCGAGGTTCGAAGATCCCATTCTAAACTCATTCGATAGAGAATTTTCTGCTCTACGAAATTCATCGCCTTTTTTTATTACATATTATTTCATTATTTTAAAAAATAGTGCAGAGTATTGACAGATAACTTCGACGGAAGGAACAGATTACAATTATTTTTGTAGTCGACCTAATTGATTATTTAATAACGCTTCTGTTAGCTATTCATCACGGGTACTTTGTGTAAAGAATTAGTCTTCATTTAATTAATCCGCATTGAGAAATAAAATTTTTCCTAACATTTTGCCACTAAGAACGAATGATCATAAAATTATGGGGTTATTCGCGTTTTTTTGTATCGCCCTTTATAACACCACTGACGGACGTAGAACAGGGCGTCTGAATACAAGTACAGTTTTAAAACACGTAAGGACAAACACGAAGCCAGTCGCGACACCGAGTCTTACAAAAAAACGGGTTTTTTCTACCAGACTGCCGAAGATTGGAACGCTTTACCAGAAATGGTTGTTGCAGTAAGTAATCTAGGTCATTTCAAAGGGGAGCTGAAATATCATTTGCAAATTTGAGGCGTTTTCTGGAGATTTGTTTTTTGTTTTTGTTTATTTCTGTACTCTATTCTGTAAGAGTGAATCTATAGATATAATCGTATATTCTCTCTCACTTGTGGTGTTGTTACTCCAGGTGGCAGTGTGTATAAGTATGTTTTACTATCTCTGCTTTTCTACAGCAGCTCTTTCTTTGTAAAGTCAGCTTTGTTTGTAAAATAAAATCAAGTTCAAGTTCTCTCAATTACCACATTATTTCTCGAAAAGTTGCACAAAAACGAAAAGCTACCAAAATTTTGATAGGAAATCGCAGTTATACGTTTTACCTGTCAGTATTCCGCACTATTTTTTAAAATAATGAAATAATATGTAATAAAAGAAGGTGATGGATTTTGTAGAGCAGCAAGTTCTCTATCGAATGAGTTTAGATTGGGCTCTTCGAACCTCCGTTGTGCTCCGAAAAAAACAGAGCAAAAGTGCGTCATTATGTCTGGCCCACTCGTTAGTCATAATTCAAAGGACGGGTACCAAAATGGTCACTTTTCGTCCTAAAATAAATTGGCATGAATTATACATTTTCGGAATCAGCATCGAATTCTAAAGAAAACTGTCGTTTTACATTTTTGAAATTCGACAAAAAACAATTTTTCGAAAATTTTTTTTCCACTTTTTCATAAAAGTAATGTCTATTCCTATAGGCACGGTGATCACGAATATCACAACCGCAGCTCATAAAAATGTTTCCTCGTTGAATGGTGACCATGACAATTTTTGGCCTAAAACCCGGTATTTTTGGTCTTGGCCCTATTATCTCGGTTCGATTAAGTTTTGGAGGGCTGAAAATACTTTGTCTATATGTAATTCGACGTGCTCTATCCGAATGTGAAAGAATTAGCTTCGAGAGATGCAAACTGAAATCCGTGGTCTTACATCATCTGGCCGATTGGGTACTTACAAAGTTGTCCATGGCCAAATGAGGCACTTCTACTTTGAATTGAAAGCTGAAAATTGCAGGGTAGCGAGAACAACGCCGGTACTATCTACAGTAAAAATTTTGTATTGGTACCTCAATTACAAGTACTTATTTGGCCACGGACAACTTTGTAAGTACCCAATCGGCCAGATGATGTAAGACC